TCACAAAAAGTCGGATCAAGTACCAGAATACTTTCATGATTCAACTTGAAGCTTGCAGCAAGGCCGCAAGGCTCCTACCATCCAAGACAACGATTCGAATGTCCTACTAGCTACCCACTTCTAAATCGACTTTCTATCAACAGTCGCCGGGTCACCGGTCACCCTCAATCACCCCTGCAAACAAATCCGCGGGGGCATACCCGGTCCAAGCCCGGATCATGATCACGCTGCACTGTATATCATGCGCAATACCCCTATAATTGCGTCCTGCATCGCGTTTAAATAAAACCAACATCTTGATTTTGCTTTATGTATGCGACCTGGTTTCTAGGATCGTATATGGCGAGAAAAATCATGGATTTGCCGAGGAATAAAATGTATGTATCTGAAATCTTCGTATTGTTTTCTCGCCTGCCCGCTCAATTCGGTCACCGCTTAGTTCCCTGAGGAAGGCCCTGGAGGCTGTGAGCATTAATGCTCTTGCATTAATCAACTTTCAAGGTTGGTTGGTTGTGCTTTATTTGTTGAAGCAAGAGGCGTCTGATTCCTTTAGTGAACAAGTCATGTATGCCATCATTCCGCGGGTTAATACTGCCGAGGAAGTGTTTCATTACTCAGCTCATCGACATGTAATCAAATCAACTAACACTATATCACTGCATCGGCAACGGTCTGAAACGCACCACCGCTATTCCCCTTTCACATCAAGAGATGACCCTGGATTGTTTGAGCGAGTAAGGCCCATTTGTTCTAGGAGCTAACGTTCGTATCAATATTCTATCGATTAGGCTCTGGCCATATGAGTCTGGTAGGCAATTTGAAACACCGTTTTGGAAGTCTATGGATTATGCCCTAACATATCTTGTATCGTAAGTATTGTCGAGGTCCGCTAATTAGGGCTCGTAACCCTGTGGCCGCGGGTTTACGCGCAGCCAACGTATCACAGTTAGACGCTGCTTAATCTTCGGTAGCAAGCCACGAGGACACTGGTGTCTTCTGTGCGACCACTATATCTCGTCTATATCTTGTTGTAGACGAGGGAAGTTGCCGGCATAATCGTTCAGGTCTGGACGTTTTGTCTATTCCATTTCCAAGCTGTACGGTGTTCCCGCCTGAATTCTTTTTTCAGATCAAGTGCTGCCCGTGTCAGCACATCTAAACCACTTTAACCAACATGGAGGAATAGTAAATCGTGCATGCTGCATGCTCATTTGTTGAACGGTGTGCTTTGTATCAAAGGGTTATGAAGACGTTACCCCAAACCTGACTTCGACTACGTATGGGCCTATCTACAACATGATAGTTTTGCATGCTCAAATACATGCTTCTGATCTACTACGTGAGGCCATCAGAAATGTGTAAATCCCTGGTAAAGCCGCTAGATGTGGTTGTGAATATTTGTCCCACTGACTCCTGGCTAGCATCGGGCCTTACGCACATGTGCAAGAAATATTGTGTTACATCAAACGTTTTAATTCGTCCGAACGCTCGTCTAGCAAGTTTATCTATGTACAATAAGAATAAGGATTTTGATCCTCTAAACTTCATTAGGCGGTGAATCGACACATGACTCTTGGTGTGAAGCTTTTTCCTGGATAGCGTCGTGATGGTTCGTAGTTTCTACCGAAAAGCATTTCATAAACAGCGAGATCTAATTATGCAGATTGGTGAAGCCATATCATCACTTAGAAGGGATCACATACCACCAAGGCCAGACCTAGCAGAGGAGCAGAGACGATCCAGATGCTCTATGATATCATTAATTGAGAATGAGTAGGGCGGCATGACCTTGAAACTCACCTGAATGGCTAGAGCCACAGCACCCAAGACCTCATTTCTCAACGAGAGCGGCTCGATAAGACTCAGTAACCTCCAATTGATGGAGGATGATCCCTGAATTTGGTAACCGATAGGTAAACCGTGAGATAGCTGTTTATCAAAGACTATCCCAGCAACCGCCTTGCAGACGATTTAAGTTAATGTCGCATAAACGAGGCGGATGGACTTACTAGGCCAATGGTAGCTCCTGTAAACCTTACCAGAAAGAATGCACTAGTCCCTGTAGCGAGCTCAGAAGGATGCAATGCCTTCACAAAGACCTGATAAGGGGCGTGGAAAAGGAACCCGATTCCAATACCGGCGATAAGGGGGAAAGAAATTTGCTCGAAGTGCGAGGAGGCATCCTTGAGTGTTATCAAGAGACCTGTTACACAACTTCAGTGACTGCCCTCAGTATATGTATGTTCGACCTCACTGAAACCTAATGTAGATATCAGCAATCCACCGACGATCGTCCATTTTTGTCCCTTGGTGTCGTTTTTACGCTTCTGGCAGAATCCAATAAACCAAGCGGCTGGCATCGAAGCCAATGATGATCCGAGTGAATATGGCAGCATCTGTACACCAGCTTGCAGTGGGGTCATACCATTCACAGCCTATGAAAATCATGAAATCAGAATCAGATCCACTAACAAGGCACGGGACGACCTTACTTGGAAGTAGAGGGCAAGGTAAAATGTGCCTGAGGTGAATGCGAAGTTGTGAAGGAATGTGACAGTCAGAATGATCACTAGATGATTCATATGAGATCTCAAAAATCCTTCCACGCGAAGCAAGCTTCTTACCAACAGTGAGACTTTTGAATACGGCAGGCGGGAACAATGCCTCGCGTGTGGTGCGCACTTCATAGAAGCCACCACAGGCTAGTATCACAGGGCCTAGAGTGACCAGCAGGAGTGTTGATGGTGATGTCCCTGCATGATGGTGAGCAAAGTGTTTGTACTGAATATCGATAGGACCTACATCCACTACTCATAGCGAAGCTGAAACCAATAACCAAACAGCTGGTACCCAGCATAAAGAGAAGACTGATGATATGATGAGCATAGCACAAGAAAGCAAAATTATATCGTACAGTCCGATAAAATCAAACCTTTCGGTGAAATTTTTCCATGACGCATGCTTAGCGTGTCCGAGCGTAACATTTCGCAATGACACTGACAGCAGCAAGAATGCGAAAAGGCATACAGGCAAATTCATGTAAACTAGTAACCCGGAGTTTGAGATTGAAACATAGCAAGGGGATGAATGACATACAAGCCCATCTCCAATTGATTGTCGTGGAGAAGCCAGCTGCGGAGGTGAAATGAGATTTAGATCTAAGATTCGTTGGAGCACTTACTGCTGAATAATCCTCCGAGTATTGGTCCCGCAACTGCAGAACAGCTCCAAGTAATACTAAGAGCCTGAGACCACTTTGCTCTATTTTCTGGTTCGACAATTTCTGATGTGATAACCCAGACGGAACTGACGATACCACCGCCACCGAGACCAGCCAATCCGCGGAAAATGATCAGGAGTGTAATATTCTAGAGAGATAAAGATCAGGATATCAAATTCAGAATAATCCGGAGTCAAACAACCTTTGCAGCCCCGCACAGCAAGGATCCGAGGGCGAAAATCATCATACTAACATACAAAACGTTCTAGTAATATAGCGAGTAAATCCACTCAGCCTCCTCCAAGTTTGAAAAAGAACACACCTTTCTTCCTACCAAATCGGATAGTCTTCCATACAGGGGTTGGCCAGCTGTTTGGGTCAGCATATACGCAACCCCAACCCAGGTGTATTGACTCTGGGAGGCCCCGAGTTCGCTGACTATTGTCGGTAGAGATGTTGACACAATAGTCTGTATGTTGGCTTAATGCCTAGCACTCAAATTTGAAAAGGGGATACGCACAGAATCTGTGGTGGCAAGAAAAAGTGTCATTGCGGCCCTGAGGTTCGATCACATACTGATAAGCGAACAGCAATTCGAGCAGCGTGAAATATTACCCGATGTGTACGAAAAGCAGTCGGGACACCGAATGTTTCGGGGCTTTCTGGATCTCGTCACGAGAATCGAGAGAGGCACAATCGCTGGCGTGTGCTTTGTCCGATGATGCAGACGCATCATCCGAACATGACGAGCATGAAGGAAGATGAGTTGGCATAGGATTTGCTGCATTGTCTAAAGACATTTCAAGGAACTTGCAATAAGAGAGAGCACAGTAAGAAAGGCTGCTCGAGGTTTAACGTTCTCCTCGTCTTCGTTGCCATTTTATACAAGGACCCTTTGGTTTGGTGGTGGCTTCGATGAGATCTGGCATAACTAGATTTCGAAAAAGAGCTTCTTTGGCTTTGGAACTATCCTCTTGTGACCCTTTGACTTGCGGTCCGCAGACAGCGGTGAATGTGCGCTGGCATTAGGCTTTACCAATGATGATATTAAATTCGACCGCATTGTGAAGCCTTTGTGGTAAGAGTCCAGCCCGCAACAAAGAAGAGAAGGGGCCTTTGACAGCATGCATTACTGCAGTCGATAGGGTTGAATTTGGTAAAAGATGAGCATTGCCCAGTGTGGGGGAGTCAGTCAAGCACGCTCAAGCTACCTCGTTGCGCATGCCTTGATGGCATCTAAACTTCGGACACAGAACTCTCTTGAAGAAGATCAAGTTGAGATCGCCGCGCACTAGGTTAATTCTTTTCAGTTTCGAAGTTCCAGCAAGGGACAGAAGAGACGGATCGAGAAGTTACTATTAAGTACTAACATTAACTTGAACTGAATGCTCGATCAATGTTGAATGTTGGCACCGCGGCACCTGCCTATACAGCCACAAACACGTTTAAACAGAATTACTATTAGGTACAATTACGGCCTCCATGCAGTTTCAGGGCAAACACTAAGTTACTGTCTTTTAAGTTCACAGGGCTTGTTCCACGCAAACATCGTATGGTAGTTGCAGGGGAAATTATCCCATTAAAGTGTGTAGTTCACTATGCTTCTATGGATCTTCTCTAAGCCGTAGCCCTCCTCCTGTGCTCACCCTCCGCGTTCTCCGATAGCCCACTGCTTTTTGCCGTATCCCCGGCATCCAGTCCGTCTGCTGATTGATTGAATTGAGAAGCGACAGGTAGTAGATAACGGAACGTCGTCAGGACGGACCAAAATATGGATAAATCAAGACCCAGTAAGCCTTCGTATCCTGTTCCATGTGCGAGACACCCAGCCACCCACGGAAGCCGGTGACGGATGAGAAAATGAAGTCGTACCATTGTTATCACCCATTAAACTGGTATCCTTCGCATCTGGTATGCTTGACTGAGCACTAGTCGAGGCGCCGGTGGGCGGAACTGGATCATGTCTTGGACTGTTACTCCGGCCCTCAACGTCGTCCGCATATTGCTCCAAAATCTCTCCGTTGTCGTTTCGTTAAAGATCTATAGAAAGTGGGTTACGTAGGCGCTGACGAACATCAATTTCGCTTACCTTGGAAGCTGCACGGAGAAAGAAATAAAAAGATCCCCCTTATCACCACCAAAAACTGACGGGACACCATGGCTTCTTAGGACCATCTCCTCGCCATGTTGAGTACCATTGGGTACACGAACGTCCACATTTCCATCCAATGTCGGCACACGAACACGGCCGCCCAAGAGTGCAGTATGCAAAGGTATGCGCACTTCGTGGTGAAGGTTTGCACCTTGTCTGCGAAAAACTTTGGATGGAGCGACATTGACCCTGACAAGCAAGTCCCCATGGCCGCCCTTGCCTGATAATGGCGCATCGCCTGCGTTCGGGATGCGGATGGTCATTCCGTCTTCCACCCCTGTGCAATATATTAGTTACCGGAACGAAAACGATGTTCAACTCCTGACCTGGTGGGATATCTACCTTAATACTTTTTTTCGTTCGCACATAACCCTGACCACCACAATCAACGCATTGACTTCCGCGGGGAATGGTAGAACCAGAGCCAAGGCATGTCCCACAAGTACTTGCCATCTGGAATCCACTATCTATCACAAAAGTCTTGGTACCAGTACCATTGCATGACCCGCAAGGTACACGCTTGGCACCATGTCTCAGGCCTGTACCGGCACATGTCGAACATGTTGACAAAGCGTTGACGTTTACACTTAAAGTCGTTCCTTTGCAGGCGTCCAAAAACGAGACGTTGATGCGTGTCTCAATGTCTGCTCCTCTTGCACTTTGGCTGAACCCGGAGCGCGCTCGACCCCCGAAGGAACCACCGAACAACTGGGAGAATAAATCGCCTTGACCTGAGCTTCCGCCAAATGCCTCGCTGAAGTCTCTAAAACCACCAAATCCGCTTGCACCTCCTGCAAACGGATTTCGAGCAAAGGCATTAGGGTCAAAGCCTGGTTGCTGGGATGCAGCGCCATATTGGTCGTATGCAGCCTTCTTTTTCTCGTCTTTCAAAATCTTGCATTACAATGTAAGACACAGCACGTATAGATCAATGAAAATGTGGTAAATGACGTACGTCGTATGCTTCTTGTATCTCCACAAACTTTTCCTGCGCTCCTTTATCAGGATTTGTGTCCGGGTGATACTTTCGGGCGAGCTGTAGAGTTTGGTAATTAGGGCGACAAGCATCAATTAATTAGTTCCGATGCGCACAGCAAAATACGTTTTCTTGATTTCCGCCGGAGATGCGTCTTTCTTAACACCTAAAACTTGATAAGGGTCCTTTGGGGGAGCAGGCAGCGATGCAGAGGCATGAAAGGCGCGCTAAAAGATAACAGTCAGTATGACGTGACAACTGTAAAACAGACCTTATGGCAAAATTGTGACAAACCCTCTGGCCTCGTGTGCTGTGGCCATTGCGGCCAGCTCGATAAGTTGAGAACGTCCGGGTGTTCGGCCTAGTTTGTTGTCGAGCACAACCATAAAAAGAAATGAACGACGAAGCTGCAAGTGACCGCAAGTGAGGGATCATTTACAATTGTGCCTTTTGACCCAAATAGCAGCGAAGCAATAGAGGTAAGTTGGAGAGAACATAATATTGTATTTGCGCCCAATAGAAACGTGACGAATTTTGAATGTACAATTATTTGCCCTGCTGACTAATAAGCTCATTCTGTACCATGACCATTGACTCCTGTGTAGGTCCAAGTACTGAGCGAGGACAATTGAATAGAGCTTCACACAGTTATATGATTTGAATGTCTTCTGAGCCAAAGATCGTATCCATATTTGATTTTTCTAGTCTTTCTCCGGATCATCGAAGTAATCAAGGGTCAGATTCATGACGCCAGCACGTTGAGAGAAGCGCGGCAAGGACAAGCGTACCGAATCAGTATGTGTACATGGGTAGCTAGATAATAGCTATTCCTGCTTGGAGCTAGAATCCCTATCGAGTAGCTTAGCAGTCCGATTCACGATTTATAGGCCCACCATGTAAGATAGCTGTCCATGGTCTCACAACCTGTTGATCAAATTACAGAAGCACACGTAAATCGCTTGCAAGGAAGGTCATTTCCAACAGTGCTCGGTTCCTCTTTCAAATCTACCGTTCAAGCTTAGACCATCTAATGATCTGGGCTCCCCTGGATGTATTACCGCTGTTTAGTATTAGCATTCGACTGGAAGCAATGACGCGGATGATACGGACCGTGGTTAAGGAAGGTAATAACGCTGATAATTTTTGATCAGGCGAAATTGGGTAACGCGTCTGTTTGGGCTGTTCGGGAGCGCCACCAACTTTTTCCATAGGATACTAAGATCTCATCGCCCTTTTGTATTGGATCTTTGGAACTCCAAATGCTCATCCGTAGTTCGCCTTGCGACGCACGGCTCTCCACAAAAACAGCATTGGGTTTGCTTCGAATACCACGGTAATCGTTGACAAACCTAGCCTCATTGCCCATAATACTGGCATCCACGCCTACATTATCCCCATCCGCTGACCGAAAAAGTGAAAGATCGTAGTCGGAGTCAGCTCTATCCTGGCAATGCACTTCTCCAATATAGTCAATGATATGTGACCTAGGAAGGATCTTTCGAACAGCAAAAAGGCCGTTCTGTCCTCGTGCAGGGTGAGAAGGTTCTGTGATATACCTCACGCGAACTAGAGATGTCGAAGGACCTGAAATCGGTGTTTTCTGGGGGGCGGGATTAGTGCCACTGATAAGAAAAGAGCGCACGGGGCCCGGCACAGAAGGATGATAACGAGGGGCGTTGATATACTGAATATGAGAGGGCCACGATGGAGGCTGGCGCCGAGAGCTGGAAGACATGAATATTTTGTTGGCGGAGATTGTCGAATATTAAGCACGTCAAGCTTCGTGTCTTGCACTATCAGGTCTTGCAGACGAAATATAGAAATATTATAGTCTTATTCCTGTATTGTGGGTTGGCGTCTAAGGAAAACAACACCGTGGGTAAACACGAAAGACCTGCACCAAACACCGTTTCACCAGCCTTCGTCCAAGGGCTTTCAATCATCCATTGAACTGCTGATTTCATTCTCATTCCATGGTGCGACCTCCAACGAAATCTGTAGCACGCATCTATCGAGATGTCAACGCCAATTTCGGTCCTGCATGGCATGAATATGGTCAAAGACTTCAAGTTACTTGGACTTGGTAATGTACTGACGATCTCCGCTTCAGATAATCTTCAAGTGCAGTGGGGAACGCAGGATCACTACGAGATAGTGCGCAAAGTTGGCAGAGGGAAATATTCAGAAGTAAGATGGTCGTCCTTGGATCGACGTGGAAAGCCTGTTTGATCACCCCATATAGGTTTTTGAAGGTGTCAATGTAGTTAATGATGAGAAGTGCATCATCAAAGTGCTCAAGCCCGTGAAAAAGAAGAAAATTAAGAGAGAGATCAAGATCCTGCAAAACCTTGCAGGTGGTCCTAACGTCGTGGCCCTCCTCGATGTCGTCCGAGATCCTGCTTCGAAAATCCCCAGCCTAATAACGGAATACGTTGACAACGTTGATTTCAAGGTTTTATATCCTCGTTTCACTGATTACGATGTCCGCTTTTATATGTTCGAGCTTCTCAAGGTATGTGTAAATTGATCTCTGGTAAATTTTTCTACCATAGTCTTTTAGGCATTGGACTTCTGCCACTCAAGAGGAATAATGCACAGGGATGTCAAACCCCATAATGTCATGATTGATCATGAACAGCGCAAAGTATGCATACTTATCAACCTGCGTAATGGACTGAGCTGGACTTCATAGTACAGCTGCGGCTGATAGACTGGGGCTTGGCTGAATTCTACCATCCGAAGGTTGAATACAATGTCCGTGTGGCTTCGCGTTACTTCAAAGGACCGGAGCTATTGGTGGACTTTCAAGAGTATGACTACAGCTTGGATATGTGGAGTTATGGTTGCATGTTTGCATCTATGGTATGACCTTCAGTCTCCTAGGGATTATGATTCGGCCTGACAAAATATGATACAAGATTTTCCGCAAAGAACCGTTTTTCCATGGTCACGACAACTACGACCAACTGGTCAAAATAGCGAAAGTTCTTGGCACGGACGAGCTCTATGCATATATCGACAAGTATGGCATACGACTGGATCCCCAGTACGACGAACTCCTTGGAAGGTAAGCTTTTCAAATGTGACCACCGATCATGTAGTAACTTGCCGTTAGGTACCCTCGGAAGCCTTGGACTCGGTTCATCACATCCGAAAACCAGCGTTATATATCGAATGAAGCGATCGACTTCTTGGATAAGCTACTGCGGTATGATCACCAAGAGAGATTGACTGCTCGCGAAGCCCAAGCACATCCTTATTTCGGTCTGTGAAACCTTTGCTCGGTTGCTTGTTAATATTCATGTACCTCGCTTATAGAACCCGTCCGCAACCCCGTGTCTGGCACTTCTGCTGACGGTGAAAGCGAGGACTCGGGAACATCATCGGCCTGATTTATAATCCACTTCTTTTCATCTCTGACTGCGAAAGTTTTGTATTACTTCCTTTGCATATGATCCTGTCCCTTTCCAACCCGATAAGCGCGTCCGCTGGTGCAAACAAACTGTGTGTCTTCAAGAAATATTCAGCTTTGCTGAAATCAAGCCATTCCCAACATTATCTACTACGTCTTGACATGTGACAGGTTCGCTCCACTTTCTCGATCATTTACGAGTATGGTAATCGGTCCTCTTCAGGCGCTCCATAGTGCCCATCACCCCTTAGCTCCATGATCGACGGTCGCGGCTTTGACGGGATCTGTGTCATTTTATCAGTATATCTTGTACTTCATTTGTCGCTGGCGACATTAGAGGACGTTCTGCCATGGAACAACACGTGCGTAGCGGAGCAAGGGTCAATCATTGGGAATGGAGATCTATGAGTGAATTAGACAAGTCCGCATTCCGACGTACGTCAAAAACGAATGTAGTTTTGATCTCAAGAATCACTTTAGGTTAAGATTTACATCGAGATGCCAGTACAGCCGCGGGATCGGTGACCGTCGCTAATCTGAGTGGTAATATCGTCCTGCATATGCTTCAAAGCTTGCTATTATCTGGTGGCGTGATAATGCATCTGAAGCATAAGGTGAAGTCGGTCCAGACTTTGTCAGGTTCGAGCCCCTCTGACCGAGTTCAACTAATGATCACATTCACTTGGCGCATCAGTACACTGCTGTTTTAACCTCCTATGCTCTGGACCTGGTTACGTGACCGGATGAAGTGCGCCTCTCAGTATCTTATGAGGGTGACATCTAGCTGATATCAGAAGCTCTCCGAATATTGACTGCCTGTTAAGGTTGAGCACTGGACAAATCCTGCCCCTAGCAGTGCAAGTTCCCTAGCGGTGCGAGCATTAATGGTAAGGCGCGAGGTAAATTGACTGCTCGCTACAGTAATGGCATTTGACACGATTGATCTGCAACCCTTTCACTTCAGGGGAGTGCACTGCGCCAATCAGCAATTAATCTTCTGTGCAGTACCGTTTCCAGCGTTGTTTACACTACTGCTACCGCGTTCGGTACCTACAGCGTAGTGGCTACTTGACAAAGTTAGCGTACGCCGAGGACGATCAGTGAGAATGCAGCAGGCGCTATGCTTATGAGGCCAGGGAAGTATTGATATTCCTCTAGCAGTCATCTTTGCACTGCCCTATGAACGGAGGATAAGAATCCAGAAGGTAGGCACACCTTCTGCACGTGTAAAACTTTGTGTAATGCTTCTTGCACTGCAGAGGGTCTTTCGGCACCTGGACTAATGATAGCCCATGCACAACGTTAACGACTCCCGCAGCTCGTATGATCACGATCGGGCACGTTGTTTGCCATGCGTGTAACGTTTGTTTCCCGTGCCTTGGATGTATTGTAAATGTTTAACTCGCTATGTTATTCTCTTCAGTTGAGGTACAATCAAATATGAAATGCGCAGAAAGAAATGTCAACGAGTGCGAGTCGACTATGGGGGCTATCAGTGAGTTTTCAAAAGTCATCTACGATAGGGTCAGATGCTGCCCGTGATTAAGGAACCCTTTCTTCTAATGAATTCTACCTGCGGGACACTATGTACTGCCAACAGGCGAACGTCGTCACTTACTTGGTAAGTATTTAAATTTCAGGGAATGGCGTCAGACGCCGTATTCATGAAAGAAACATTTAATAATTTGAAACACAGTATATGCGGTCTAGCGTGCCAGAAGGGCAAGACAGCAAGTCCCAAGAGTCGGCTTAGAATGACAAGTGCCCAGTTTCCTCAACTGCAATAGAAATAGATAATATTTTGTGACAAAATGGCGCATGATCTTTCAAGGAGGTTATGAATCTAATATAGTTAAGAAACAAGATACTTCACGAGGATCGCCATTATCACATGTGGGATCCAAATAATCAACAGCTCACATCCACTAGCCAGATTGAACAACAGCCCGTACTATTTTGCAACCTTGGCAAAAATCGTAATCCGAAGACCATGATGGGAAAAGTAGTTCCTTTCCCGGCATTCTGGTGCGAATCATGTCGTGCTCCTGCCTGGTGTCCAGGCTACTGGAAGCGCATGGTAACAGAATATTGTGCAGGGTCATAACTATGATTCTGAGGCCGTTGGGTGGAAGTAGAGCGATTACGAGGAATTCGATGGAAAGCCCCTGCTCGTGAGTTCACAGCAGGGGAAACAGGGACACCGGCAAGCAGAGGACCCTGTCTGGCACTTATACTAATTCCGTCCTGCAAAGAGGATCCGGAAGAAGCTGTGCCTTGACTGACGGTACTCGACGTCGGTGCTCTGTGTGTTTCATTTCTCTTTTTCGGTTCCTTCGGTTCCTTGGGTGGAGGCGGTGGACCTGGATCGTAATGAGGGTTGTGGGGAATCCACTGTGAAATCCCAAGGTGATCTAGCACGAAGCCATTCACAACACTAAGGGAGTAGTAATATGGGTTTACATCGGGCATATCTCCAGCCAAGACGATCAACCGAGTATAGATAGCATACCCAGCACACGCGTCGTTAGCTGCATCTGCATATTCAGGGGAACATTTAAGAAAGCACAACGTTCGACCACGTTAACACTCACAGTCTTGCTGGACCGAGGAAAGACGGAGCTCCCAATTGCTGCGTTGCACCTTTCCCTTCGCCAAAGAGAAACCCACGTAGGTCTCAAGAAGGCGAGATAACCCAAGTGGGCTGGTGTACTTTCCCTTCCATCGGGCATTATCGACCGAACGAGCGAGAAGTGCTAGCTCTACGCAGTTGCGTGTTGAAACCCCCCAGTCCCGATACAACTTTTGGCAATCACCTAAATACATCATTATAAGATAGGCTGTGAGTTTATGGACCCTCCACTTGACGCACGTTGGATGCTAACGCCAGTCTTGACTCGCAATGGATCCCCAAGCACTTCCTTCAATTTCAACGGAAATTCTACGAGTAGATATATTCCAAATTAACTCATAGAGGCTCACTGTTCATTGAATTCTTGCTCATACCTGACATGGCGCTTATTTGTAGGAGCAATATGGTGTCGAAACCAGCAAGCTGAACAAGCGCTACGCGGTTCTCCCTCCCACCCTTCCTGTAGTTGGGGCGCCATTCTAGGTCAAAACCAAGAGGTCCTATGGCCAACCGAGATAACTCGAAATCTGCTTTCAGGTGATTTGTGATATATTGAATCCGGGTACGAGTAGGACTTTGATGCCGCCAAAAGTAATGCGGAAGCTCTGGACGCGAGACTGTGGTTTTAACCGAGCCTTCTGCCGTGCCAGACATCCTAGTTTATGGTATATTGAAGTATCGCAGGAATGAAGCTCGTTGTGGTCGTGTACTAAAGCGCTACATAAGCGCTTTCCCAGTACTGTAGTATTTCGTTATTCGACACACCCTTGTGACCGTGACATCTTGGGTGCTTTCGACATTTCGACAGATTTACCTGTGACCTGTGACTAGTGTTGTTGGCAGAATGCTGCCATTCTGCCGGTGGCAATTGCCGGCAGTAGGTCGAAGGTGGTTGGCAGAAGTCGGCAGAAATATTATGACCTAGTATTTGTTCCGACTAACAAACAGTAAAAATTTGACATATGTTAGAAAACTTAGAATGTATCTTGGTGGTTGTTACCATGGCCTCAAAGTCCAAGGGCTGTCCCGTCCGAAAACTTGTGTCTGACCACTTTGTTATTGGGGAGAAAGTCAAAAACAACTCAAACCGCTACTTCTTCACATGCAACTACTGCTCGGCATCCATTGAGGGCTGTGACAATAACCATCTCAAACATTTAATTGACCAAAAAACATGTCCCAATGCCCCTGATCGTACTCGCGCAGAAGTTCGTGGCTACCTTGCTACAAAAAAACGGACTTGACATTGCTCTCGCTGACGAGCTACAAAGATCATTTGCATGGATCCCTCCCCTCACAACAGACTCTGATGACCAGGATTATCTTGCGGGTCTGGAATCAATTACAGATGAGGAGTTGGTGGATGAATTTGAAAGATTTGAGCGCGAGATGCGGTAGGCTGGCCAAGCACAAGAAAATGATGAGGCAAGCGGTAGTTTGTTTGCAGGTGATGTGCCGGATGTTCTGGATGGCGGCCTCATTGACTGGAGTGAGCTAGAAAGGGTTAACAAAGGTATCACACCAACTGGCTTCATTAAAGAGACTGAGGTACTCAATTGAAGCTCAAACGATGTATCAGGGTGGAATGTTGATGCACTTTTGACGTCAGAAGGCATAGCCTCGATGTAGTAGTTGAAACTATTTTTGCCATAGTATAAACATAGCTGAAAAGAGCTAAAAACACTCACAATACATTTTGCCGACTTCTGCCATTCTGCCAACTGCCGAGAGGCCAATTTATTTCTGCCCACGACACTACCTGTGACATATCCTAAATTTTCGGCCAGCCTCTGTTATGCTTATGAAATTGGTTAACCCTAAATTCAATCCATGGTGAGATGAAGGAATTGACACTTGAAGCAGGACAGAATCTCTCTGCAGGACATATTGGTATCATATCTGCAGAAGTATTTTGCATTGATGATAGAATCTGTACTGCAGTTCTATTGGATATCAAATTTTACATGTGTTTGTGATATGACATTTAGGCAAATTGGGGGAACAATATCCTAAATCCAATGGCATCTCATATCTAAACTTTGAAATAAAATCTGTTTTACTCTAAGATACATGTTATATATAGAATTTAAGTATGATATGGTGGCTGATCAATTTTAATTACAAATTTTGAATATGAAACCTATACATATTTGGTATAGAGATTTCTTATTGGTCAGTCATCAAACAAATTCAGAATAATACAAACTAGATCTGCTGTTACAAATGCTATATCTATTTCTCCTTGTCTTCCCTATTGGTATCCGACATGCTTTCCTGTTCATATTGGCCTATTTAAGCACAGTGTCACAACCCCTTAAACGAATTAACGCAGGGCAGAGACTAGGACTCAAACAACAAGATAATCACAAAGAGGATAAGGCAGCAGGTACATCTTGGATTGCTCACTTGGAGATACAAGAGGTTTGAACTAAAGAACTACTGACTACGACAATCTACCTATATACACATATTGAAACTGAGATCGAAACTGAGTATGAACTAACTAACCAATCAGAATAATTAAAGGTATCGTACGATTCTATATATAACTATGATGTCATAACATGTGCCGCAGCCGCAGTAAGACTCTGGAACATTCCAAGAGTGTCGCGAGGCATGACGTCAACATCTTCGGCATTGTCCGATCGATCACGTGACTCTGGTAATTCTACAATAGACGCAATAATAGGAACTTCTTCAACAGTAAACATATTCTTAGGAACAGGCGCTGTGACTGGGCGCTTAAAGGACTTAGAATTAAGGAACGAATAATGGTTTGTATTTGGAACTCGTGACATTACCCCCTCTCTAGGATGAGCGTCATCGCGAATGAAACTAGGACGAATAAACTTCTTGCGCCATTCCAAAAACTCTTGGGTTTCGAACACCGATTTGTTAATTTTGCGGGGATTTAATGCCTTCGGATTTTGCCGGTGAAATTCTTGAACTTTCAACCGTGCATTCTCAAGATTTTCCTCAGGTTCCCATGTCGCTTCTTCTATCGGATATCCTTCCCACTCTACTAGGTATTGGAGTTTTGATCTGTGCAGTCTCGAGTCTAGGACTTTTCGTACTATCCATTCGGAATTGCCTTCTGATAAGATCTCTGGCGGCGGACGATGATGTGGAAGTCTTTGGACTAAGGTCGAGGGGGAATGCGGAGTGAGTAATTCTACGTGGAATACCGGATGAATCTGATATTTTGCTGGAAGGTTCAGGCGGTAATTTACATCACCCGTCTTCTCTAGCACTTCAAACGGACCAAGTCGTCGATCGGAGAGTTTCTTATTTGGTCTTTTTTGACGGATATTTTTGGCATTGAGCCAGACCAGATCTCCTTTCTTGAATTGTGGTGCGTCTTTTACTCCTCTATCGTAGAATCTCTTCATCCGCTCATTCGCCATTCGCAGCATACTTTCTGCGTCTTCCTTCGCCTCTTTCATTACATCCACTCGTTCATCAGCTGCAGGTACTTTAGAATTGGAAATTGGTGAAAAAGTAAACTCTGGATCGTATCCGTAGAGTACTTTGAATGGACTATGACCCGTTACAGTGACAGAGTTATTGTGAGCGAATTCTGCTATCGGAAGCCAGTCTACCCAATCATTTTCGCGGTAAGACGTGAACATTCTCAGATATTGCTCTACTTCTTGGTTGATTCTCTCTGTTTGTCCGTCTGTCTGAGGATGATAAGCCGTTGACATGTTCCATTTTATGCCTAGGCGTTTCGACACTTGTCCCATAAACTTGGAGACGAATTGTGTTCCTCTGTCCGATATCACCTGTTTCGGAGTTCCATGGTGTTTCCATACGTTATCTAGGAAAAGTTTCGTGATTCCTCGAGCGTCAACTTCCTTTTTCGTAGGCATGATGTGCGTTTGTTTCGTGTATCGATCAACGACAACAAAAATAGAATCGAACCCTTCGCTTTTAGGCAAATCTACTATCAAATCACAAGTGATTGATTGCCAAGGTCCCGCTGGTATTTCATTTGGTTTAAGCGGACCATGTGGTTGCGTTGGGTGAATCTTCGTTGCTCTGCATCTATCACAGCCATCTATGTAATCGTGGACATACTTCGTCATTGAAGGCCACCAATAATTTCTGGAAATCAATTCTAAGGTTTTGGCACGTCCAGGGTGTCCAGCCGGTGGAGAGTCGTGAAACAACTCCAATATCTCTCGACGGATCTCCTTATCATTTGGAACGTAAACCAGTCCTCGGAATAACACCAATCCATCCTCCACATTCCACTCTTCGACTCCTCTACGCAATTGTACCGGTGCTGCTTTTAGCGTTTGTAGCGCTTTAGCGACTTCGGGCTCTCGTTCTGTGCATTGCCTTATCTTTCTCAGCAATTGTTTTTCTCCTTGCACTAGAACTTGACCTCTTTTAGCAGCTTTTACAGTAAAAAACTCCGGTTTTAACAAAATACGATCAGAATTGTCGTTTTCTACCCCCCCTCTGTGGTCTTCTCTCCGAGAAAGCTTATCGGCCTTATCGTTGACTACACCAGGCTTATGTTGGAGTGTAAATTCATACTCCGCCAGGAACAGACTCCATCTGGCTTGCCTTCTTGTCAACTTTTGGCTCGTCATAAAGTACTCGAGATTCTTATGATCCGTCCAGATCTCCACATGATGAGGTTTTCCCTGCACATAGTGCCTCCACTCCTCCAATGCTCAAATGATTGCGAGTAACTCTTTGTCATGGATGTCATAATTTCTTTCTGCATCGTTCATTGATTTAGAGTAATACGCCACGGGGTGCCATAGGTCATCTTCCATCAGTTGAGATAGAACCGCTCCAGTTGCGTAATCAGAAGCATCGGTTTCTATTTTCATTTTCTTCTCAACGTCAGGCATTACTAGGATCGGAGCTGATGTAAACCTTGACTTCAGTTCATCAAAAGCATCTTGCTGTTTCTCCGTCCAATCCCATTTGACATCTTTCCGTAGTAAATCATTCATTGGTCTAGCGATGTCTGAGAACCTGAAGATAAATCTTCTGTAGAAGTTGGCGAAGCCCATAAATGCTTGTATATCTTTAACACATTTGGGTACAGGCCATTTCATTACTCCTTCTACTTTCACAGGGTCCATTCGAACACCACCCTTCTCCACTATCAACCCGAGGAACTCGACTTCTGTCTGTTCGAAGCTACACTTTTCAGGCTTCAGATACAGATCATTTTCTTTTAGTCGTTTCAGTACCTCTCGTACAACTTTTCGGTGTTGCTCCCTATTGCCATTCGTGAACACGAGGATATCATCGATATAGACAACTACGGTCTTTCCATCAATTAAATCTCTGAATATCTCGTTCATCATGGTTTGGAATGTGGCAGGGGAGTTTGTTAAACCGAAGTACATCACGGTTGGTTCATGGTGACCAAACGGCGTTTTGAAGGCCGCCTTCCACTCGTCTCCTTCTTTCATGCGAATATTATTGTACCCCCATCTTACATCCATCTTGGAGTACATCATGGCACCAGTTAAAGCATCAATTAAATCTTGAGATCTCGGTAGCGGGTATGCATTTTTAACCGTCTTCTCATTGAACTTTCTATAGTCCATTACTGGTCTCAACTTGCCATCTTTTTTGGCCACAAAGAAGAAAGGTGCTGCCACTGGAGATTGTGAATTTCTTATACGTCCTAGTGCAGTCTCGGCTTTTAACCAATCTTTCAAAGTGTCCATCTCCTTGGGTGATAAGGGATAAGGTTTCGCATTCGGCGGAAGATCGCCATCATCTTTAAGATCTATCGCATGATCCCATTTCTTTCTTTCAGGGAAGCGCTTAGATTCTTCTTCTGAGAAAACTCCCAGGTACTCGTGAAGCCAATCGGGAACCATCTCTTCGACCGATTTCTTCACCTTCATTGCTTCTTCTGCAACCTTCTGCTCCGTGGCAACCGAGGCTTTATACTTGATCCATTCTCCAGGATACTCTTCGTCTTCTATTTCCTCAACTGTCGCCCTCTTCATCGCCATGTCTTCTTCGTCATCCTCTTCTGTGGGAATCAGGTCTGGTACTTCTTCTATCTTTTTTTGTTCTTTTCTTTTTTCTTTATTTTTTTGTCTTTGTTCTTTTTTAGTAATACATTTAACTGGGCAACGAGAAAGTGCAAAACGTCCAGCGTTCCAATCTATTTCCGGGTTGTGATATCTTAGCCAATCTATGCCAATAATAACATCATCGCTTCCTAAGTCCGTAACCATGAAGGCTGCTTGATCCTCAACATGGTCACCGATCTTTAGACCTAATTCAGCGTAATGAGTCATCGATCCAGCGGCATTTAACGAGCCATCAATATTTTTAACCGGAATGGGCCTTAATAATTTATGGCACCGGACTTCGTTCTTTTTCACAAACTTCTCACTAATAAATAATGTCGATGCACCGCAATCTACCAGTGCTTTCACATCTGCTTGTCGGTTCTTTCCCTTCAACGTGATCGGAATGTAAAAATGTTCAGATTTGGATTTAATATATACTTCTGATACATCTGAGAACGTAGATAGGATGGAGAAACGATTGTTCGGGTCTAAGTTCGCAGACTTTGACTTCGACCCTTCTAAAAACCCTTGCCTTCCTTGGAGCTGACCCAAGCTTTGAACCAACTCGGGATAGGGTCTTCTTCTTTTGGCACTGTAGTAGCCTTCACCTGCACCTTTGGTGCGACTGCGTCTTTGCAGTTTCTAGCCATATGGCCTTCGCCTCCACAGCGGTAGCATTTGAAGGATCCAGTCCTTCCTTGAGGTTTTGGAGCACCTCGCTGTTTGTTGGCGTCGACGTCCATAGCGTCGCTTTCCCTGCTTGGACCAGGTTTGTATTCAGGGGTCCTGGGGCCTTGTTTAGGGGTCCACCAGGTCGTCTTCTTCTTGTCCGCGTCTAGCTCTTCGAAGTTGTGTCCGATTTGGATCGCATGTTCCACCAGTTTCTTCATGGTGTTTTTGTCCTCGTAACGGACATGAGCAAGCTGTATCTTGACACGGTCTTGAAGTCCCATTCTGAACTTCTGTCTCTGGTCATAGTCGGAAAATGAAGTGTGTGCGGCCTTTTGTCTGAAAGCGGCCGCGTACTCTGGAACTGAGGAAGATCCTTGTCTAAGGGATTCCAGTTCTCTGATCGCTTTTCCTTCACGATCTTCTTGCCCCCACATGGCTTCTAAGTCTTCCAGGAATTTCTCCACGGTCAACTTCTCGTCTCCGGTCTTTCCAAGTTTAGTGATGTAAGGTTGCGCCCATTTGGCTGCAGTGCCTTTCATGAAGGAGAGCATTACTCCAATTCTTTGGCCTTCTTGGATGTTGGGCCATTGCGCCGTGTATAGCGCTACTTGGGATATCCAGACCATGAGTTCTATGGAGTCTTTTTCTCCAGTGAAGTCTTGGGGTTTGGAGTATTTGATGGAGGGGGAAGAGTTTGATGAAAGTAGGCTAGCTCCTGCAGAGCCGAAGGATGGTTGTTGAGACTGTATTTTCACGGTCTCGTCTTCTTGCATTTCTAGGCGTACGCCCAGGAGTCTGTTTGCTTCTTCTAGAGCCGCATTCTTGGCTTCTAGTTCTGTGATTCTGACCCTGAAGCTTTCCGCTTGGTTTGCAAGTGACATGTGAATGTACTCGACAACCTCCTGTGGAGTGGATGGTAACACCACTGTCGGTGCAGACTGTGTAGGAGAGTTTGGTAATTCAGACATAGTGCCAGTTGTGTTCTGGAACCCGATTCACTGATGTCTGTTGAAGAGCTGCTCGTAAGGGCTCTTCCGAAAGGGAATGATGGTGAAAAGAAGAAAGTTATGTAATGGAAAACTGAAGCGGTCCCCGATATCTGATCGGATCTACCACGTACTTCAGGATCGAAGGGTTCTTTAATCAACCCAACCGATGCTTCCCTAATACTAACTAAAAAGAATACGTAACTATACTCGATCGAGTGGGAAAAACTAGGGACAATGCAATCTCCGTTCTGAGGGTACAAGCCTAGGACAAGTTATCACTCTTCCAGCCGAAGCTTACAAGTGCGAGTCTCACTAGGGTATGTCGCTAAATCCTCGTAGGTCGAAAGCACGGTTTGTCGTCTAGACAGTTCCGCTATTGACTCGAAACGAATGCCTACATGCGTATGAAGAAAGGAATAGGTAAAATGAAACTATAGTAACGTTGAGCAGGCAGGGTTTTGGGCCAGCACTCAAAGTTGCAGTGACACGCCTAATGTCGTGAACACCTCCGTATACTGGCGGCTGCGGTAAGACAGGGCCTGGTATAGGACTACTAACTAAGAAAGATGATAGGTATGAAAATGCGCTCAAATGAGCAAAGGGATAAAACAAAAGGTCGCGGCGGTTTAGGCCGAGCAAAAGTATAACGGTTCTGTTTCGGCTGATGGTGTGATGACTACCAACACGACCAGGCGAAAGAGAAAGAGATGCGAGAGTGTAACGCGAGAGTTGGAGTCTCCTATAGTTCAAACCTAATGTCACAACCCCTTAAACGAATTAACGCAGGGCAGAGACTAGGACTCAAACAACAAGATAATCACAAAGAGGATAAGGCAGCAGGTACATCTTGGATTGCTCACTTGGAGATACAAGAGGTTTGAACTAAAGAACTACTGACTACGACAATCTACCTATATACACATATTGAAACTGAGATCGAAACTGAGTATGAACTAACTAACCAATCAGAATAATTAAAGGTATCGTACGATTCTATATATAACTATGATGTCATAACATGTGCCGCAGCCGCAGTAAGACTCTGGAACATTCCAAGAGTGTCGCGAGGCATGACGTCAACATCTTCGGCATTGTCCGATCGATCACGTGACTCTGGTAATTCTACAATAGACGCAATAATAGGAACTTCTTCAACAGTAAACATATTCTTAGGAACAGGCGCTGTGACTGGGCGCTTAAAGGACTTAGAATTAAGGAACGAATAATGGTTTGTATTTGGAACTCGTGACACACAGTGTATTACAATCCTATTTCTTACTTCAATCTTACTGGGTTTTACCTGAACATTTCCTTCATTTAAGACCTCTAATCTTAAATTGTCTGAAACCTGATTCTTTGTTGAAGCACTCCTTCGACAAAGCCTTGATTCTCTCTTATCTGAGGGACTTAGAAACCTCAATGATCGTCAGCTCTATTAAGCTATCATTGTTAGAACTATCCTAGTTTGTAACATCTGCATATACAAAATATTATTGTCATAATTTCAATATGAGCATGGATCTGGTGCAAAAACAAAGGCTTCCTTTCAAATTCTAAATATTGTTGTCTATATATTCTTCATTTGGAGATAAATTTGGTAGAGAATCAATTTTAACCACAGATTTTACATTTGTGCATTATTTGTTTAGGTTCAATATTGAATAATAGACTTTACAAATATGTTCTACATATGGCAGTCCAACCATATGTGTACAGTCATTAGGTCCTAATGGACTTTGAAAGCTAACTTAGTGGGATACCTCAGGCTGGCGATTTTTTACATCGCCAGCATACTGTCCAGCATCAATGAAGGGCACACCAACTCCAACCAACCATTCATCCCTCACCACCTGCATGTCTGACCCTCCAAAGCATGGCTGTAGACATCTGAAAGGTTCCAAGAACCAGCCTGGTGTGAAAAATGTTGGACAGCCCCACAAAAATGGGCAACCAGCCCATGCTAGGAACACAAAGGATAAAGGTACATGCAGTCCGTCATCTTTAGCATCCATGCTCCCATTTTTGGCTGATTTGATTTATTTGCTAGATCCATCTCATGTTGCCTCAGTAGGGCCAAGTGCTCCTCTAGCACCAACTCCTAGCAGTCTTGTATGAGTTTTTATTTTGTGTTTCAGTATTCTTGACTGATATCTATTAAACTCTCAGTGCACCTTGTTCTCCCAAATGGTCCAGTGAATGGCTGCCATCTTCTTCTGAGTCTCCTTCCTGCCTACAATCCTTCAAACTGGCAACAAATCCTCCTGTTCCATCTGCTGATGATTTGTGCAGTATGAGTATTGTGACTGTTGTCCCATCTCCTATCCATGAGTCACTGGAAGAGCAACCTGCACTCCCATCCAGCCCACTGCCACTGTCTTCCCTCGCTGCTAGCTTGCTTGATGCACAATCTGACCCAATGGGCTGTTCCCTCTGCGCACAGCCAACCACACCTGAACCTCACCAACCAATGCCAACCAACAGTGACTTGGAGTATTGCACTAGCATCATATCATGCAGGGTAATGGTGCAAAACCTGTATGAGTCAGATCTCAAGGCTAACAATGTCCATGAAGGAGATGAGGATAAGGATGGGGATATGCTGGAGGAGTTCACCCTCACCTGTGAGGATGTGGACCTTGAGGATGAAGCAGAGAGTGCTAGTGACCAGCCCATGACAGTTGATGCAGAGCATGAGATGTCAGCTCTGTCCACACCAGCTCAAATGGCCAGACAGCATGTACACCCTACTCTGCCAGCATGGCTGCCAAGTGAGTATCAGCAGCTGCATGAATGTCTCATTCATGAGATTAAGAATAATTCTTCCCATTTACTCACATGCTATGATCACCAAACCTTTTTCAATAGACCTGTCATATCTCATATATTCACGCTTCTCTTCTGGACTTCAAACCCTGAGATTCGATCTGGTCCGATGCATAGATCTGCTTCTGATCCAATATCCAATAAGCTTCCTATTTCATTTCCTGTTCATTTAATGTTAAACACAGCCTATTTGGTATTTCCTCTTCCTGGTGTTTTGGTTATACTTATTACCAGTATGATTACTGATCTGTTAACCTATGCTTCATTTCTGACTTGTGTTTGATAACCTTTGCACATGCTTCGTACATAGCCTTGGACCTTTGCTTACTTATCGTTTTGTTATCCTCTTAGTATATAAGCCCATGTATATGTCCTGTAGTACCTCAGTTCGAATATCATCTTAGTTTGTCCTCTTTCTGTCCTCCGGACTTGAGTTTTCAACTCTTGTCAACCTCCGAGACTTTGGATCGATTCCTATAGTCTACGTTTCTGACTCTATCTTTGGATAGTCTATACTCTGTTCGTTTCTAGTCCGGATCCATCCAGATTAGTCTTATACATGTTTCCAATATCCGGAAGTCATCCAGATATATCTACAAGACCTGTCCGGACCTTTGGATGTGTTATTGTTAGTACTTTGAAATAAGGGACAGTACTTGGGAAAGAGGCACAGCATACGAGCTGAGGCCGAAGCCCTTCAGATCCGATCCTATGAGAGTACGACATTAACAAGACCTAAAAACCCTTTTCTGGTTGCCAAATTAACTTTTCAACTGACTCTTGGTCTCTTTCACCAGTCATGGTGACACACATCAAACTTGTTTTGTGCATGGTCATAGCTACTTTTGAGCTTTATTGTTCCTCACTTTACCCTATAAAATTTCTAAGAAAATTCTACAACACATTAAGGATTGATTTGAGTAGTTTTCAGACTTAACAAACCCATAATACTACATAACAAGTTCAAATTGGCACTTATCCTATTCAAAGATAAGGTCGAAACATACCATAATACATTACTCAGCATTTTTTCTCACACACTCTTCATACATGTTCTGAAACATATTCAATATAATATTTTAACATATCAATAGTTCATAGGTGATCAATGGCTTAGTCAGATGAAATGGGTTAGTAAGATGAGATGGATTAGTTAGGAACTTGAAAGGAGAAAGTTGATAGATGAGAATATTTGAGAAGTGAACAAGTTATCATAGGACATCTCTACTATGACTCAGTTTGAGTCATTATGAGTCATTTTGCTGTCTGAGTCACTATGAGTCAGTATGAGTCACATTTCCTTATTTAGATATTTACACAGCCACATTTAGAATAGTATATAAGGGGCTCTATTTCCCCTCTGAATAATAACAATCTCTCTTTTAAAATCAATCTTCCTTTGAGAGGACAGACAATCCCCCTTTAAGAGAGAGGGAGGAGGATTTGAGTATCTTCCTGAATTTCTCACCTCACACTTGTGTGAACATCTGAGTAAATATTTACATATTTTTAAACAATTAGGAGGATGACAAATAAGACTAGCACTTTATTCAACAATATTAAGAGCTTGGCTGCTTTAAGACTACATCAAGGGGGTGTACTCTGTTTTGATTTTGCACCATACTCATCATGAGTGCCTGAGCAGCAGAGAAGTTAGTTTCAAAGCCACATATTTCAGTTGATTTGATTGTATTAGAGGCTTAGTTTGATCTCCTCTAAATTTTGAGAATAGGGAGTGTTTACAAGATATTATTCTGACTCATTGTGTACTGTTGTAACCCATAATTTCATCTTCATATTGCATATCTCTGCAATCATCTTCTTTGTAGCATCCTAGTACTGCATCATACCAGTTATTGATTTGGCTACACTATTTACAACCTTCATCTCAAGAAATCCTAAGTACTGCATCAAGCCAGTTAATGAACTAGTGATCTTCAAGCATCTAAGCACTACATCAAGCCAGTTAATGGTTACTGTCTCAACTCATCCAAAGTCATTAGAAGTTTGTTTAGAACGACCTTGCTATTTACGCCTCCTCCCATGAACAACTATATTATCAACCATTTGTATTTGTTTGAACCGTTGACTGTGGAGGATAGTGAGAACTGGTAAATTTATTGCTAATCACATCCTAGTAAGACAATGGTTCTTCATATGGCTGCTGCACCTCCTCATGGATCGTATCCCATGTCCTGCATGCCTTGATTTTAGCTGTCAGCCTATTCACAGCTCATATGTTTATCTACAGAAGCATGAGTTTGCCCAATGTACATGTCAGGTAGTCGATATTGACTGCAATATATTCATTGTTGGTTACTGATACCTTTGTGGTCACAAAGACTGCCACAGGAACCATTAGAGTTGGACCCCATGAATCCTCTGTGTTTTGCCAGCCCCCATTGCAGACCAATTTGAGTTCCGACTCACATATTGAAGTGGGCTGTCAGGTTGCCTCTATGCACTTCTGTGAGAATTGTTTTGAGCAGGAGTTGGTCCTGATCAATTCATAACAATGATTGAGTCTTTTCACTACTGTTAATTTAATACTTGTCATTGTCAGTTCCTTGAGATGGTGTTCCGCCGAAGCAGCAGTAGCTCACTGTCGAGCTGCTGGACAACTGCAAGTCCATTTGGAGAATATGGGGATCAAGATGGATATGCGGGCTATATTTCTTGTGCCCCATACTTTGCCCAATTCTATGACATGCTTGTTGAGGAGTCCACCCCTGCATCAAAGCAACTTATTGCATCGCTATTTGCTGATATTCTCAAGTAAGACCACAGTTCCAAGGTGATGTAGCACCATCTACTGCTTAATGTGGTCTCTAATTGGTGGCTATTGCAGGCTATCAAATGATTGGGCAAAACTGATGGAGTGTGTTAAGACCATGCACAAAGGGTAGGACTGATTCTGAGGGGCTTGGCTTCAGCTCATGCGCTGCGCCCCTTACCCGAGTATGTGCCCTTAATTTCAGATTGGTGTCCGAGGAAAGTCCGAAGACGTCCGAAGGACATCCGAAGGCGCGGGAAACTTCGGAAGGACTTTCCGGACGGGTGCAAGTAACTTCCGGATGAGTGCGGGAAAGTTCCGGAAATTACGATGAGGTTTCGTCCTGATATGGATATGTATAATGGCTACTCGGGACTTGTCCTGAGTAGAAGTAAACAGAGGAAAGGCTGCAAGGACAAAGTCCGAAGCAGAATAGGTCCGGAGGACCACGGGAAAGATCCGGATGAACTTCCGGAAACTACGGAGGATTGGATGAGCGGATGAGCGGAGTATCGGATAAGCAGAGCTCCGGCCTAGGGAGAAACTCCCTAGGCCTGAGATGGATAACAACTAAGTTGGAAGACTAGAACTGATATGAGGACTTAGAGTGAAGACTAGTGCGAGGACTAATATGATATTCAGACTGAGGTACTACAAGACATATACACGAGTTTATATACTAAGAGAAATAACGGAAGGATCAATAAGCAGAGTCTGAGGCTATGTACGAAGCATATGCAAAGGTTGACAAACGCGAGTCGGAAATGAACATAGGTTAACAGATCAGTAAGCATACCGGTAACAAGGAATACCGGATAGGCTGTGTTAATGTTATATGCACAGGAAATGAATCAAGAAGCTTATCGTATATCGGATAGGAAATGTATCTATACATCGGATAGGATCGGATCGGACTGGATTGGATGTGGTCCGGATGAGATGCGTGGATATGCAAGATATAATATTAGGGCAATGGGACAAGGGTGAACGATGCAGGCTAGCTGCGAAGGTAAAGGGATCTGGATGTGGATGTGTGGAGGTGCAGGGATCCGGATGGATAGAGGACTGCAGACATGGATAGGATATCCGAAGGTCCGGATGAGGTGTGGGAATATTATCGGATGTAGGTCCAGAATACGGGATATGACAGAGTGCCTATATTCAACACCCTCTTCACAACAATCAATCAATATAGTGAAATATGGTCAATGAATTTTACGCCATCAAAAGTCCAGGATGGATGGGCTCCTATCCTCGCAGCCATGTTGCCGTCATTAGCAAGCTTTAGCCATAGTCCTTCAACGATTATCTTCACAGATAAAATTTGAGCAGACAAGGACAAGCTCCTGTCAATATTTCTACCATTATCAGCTAGGGTCATCCCTGTGCAGCCTGCGAGTACCCAGGAGCCATTGGTTCTTCCAGAGGATTGGTTGTCGATCCCATTGACTATAATGTTCCAGGTCAACCATCAATTTAATATCATCATGAACCAGCACACACCAACCACTCTTATTATTGTTGACTTCTCTGTGCAGTAGCCAGTTGATGCTGCTATAGGCAAGACTGGAGGTATTGCTTTGATTCAAGTTGCATATCAGAAGGTTGTCTACCTGATACAGGTCAGTCCAAACTCACTCGTGCACTAACCGCAGCTCAAGGATCATGTATTGCATAGACCAGATTATTCATGCAGGATGGCTACACTAGTCTCCTACACTCTCTCCTTATGTTTTTCCAGTCTAAGGCCTATCACAAGGTTGGTGTCAATGTTATGTCAAATCTTCAGCAACTCCAGGGTGATTGCATTCTTGTATGTTGTTCTGTGCTGTTTGCAGGTTTAATTGATGTTGGTCAGATGGTGAGAATGTGATGCTGCCCCAAGTGGTAGCTTGAGCATTGTCACCTTTTGTGCAAATATCCTTTGCTGTCGAATCACCTGAGACTCAGTGATATACATTAGACCAGCATGGGGGCATTCTGAACTGCTGTCACAATTTGTTCAGCATGCCATTCTTGAATCCTATGTTACATGGTCACTCTACCTCACTCTTACAGTAGTCAAGGCTCCACAGAATGTCACTGGGTCAACACAAGGTGGCACTGCAGTCACTGTGTATGCTCCTAATGGTTGGACAATTGCTTGAGGCCTTATTGCAATCAACTATCCACTAATATTCAATATCTGTGTCACAAAAACTCAAGTAGTGATGGTTGTCCAAGAAGTTTTGGTTCCTGGGTACTTGATATTAGGCAGCCTTCTTGCCTTACACACTCCAACAGCCTTATCTGCATTTGGACCAGCTTCATTCACAATCCTCTGCCAGGCTAATCATCTGCAAACATCACCAGTTCCTTCTCTACTGAATCTGACTGCTGTTGGGAGCTGCAAAGACCAGACTCTAGTGAATCCTTCTGCTGAGGGTGAAATACTATCTACAGACACTAATGAGGATAGTTTCCAGTCAATTTTTTTGGACACAGTTGCAATATATCTTAATGCAAGCATCAAGTTGAAGTCTGAGCCAGGGCAGCCTATTCCTGACTCATCAATCGATGAGGCTGCCCTGGAGGCAATTTTACAGCTCATCCTTGATATCACAAATTTTGTACCAAAGAGCATGGACCTGGTGCGAACATGTATTAAAGGTAACATTTGGCACCTTTTCCATCAGTTTCTGATTTCACTTCATCATGGGCTTCATTGCCATTTGCACGTGCACTCAGTGCTACTATTTTTCTCACAGATGTCAATGACAAATGAGCTGTTACAGAGATACTTATAAGGCAGAATGTCTCCTATGACACAAAGTTGATATCAAAGTTGGAGTGGATTCTCACCAGAGTTCATCACTATGTTCCACCACCAGAAATACTGTTCAGCCAAGTTGTAGTAGTTGTCAAGACCTATGGACCCCTTAAGGATGTGACAACAGGACAGCCACTGTTCAATGACAAGGCCTAGGATATCATGAAAAACATTCTTAAATATGTTTGCAATAGATATTACTCTGATCCTTCAGATGTGCCACTCTACTTTGAGATCAGACAAGATAAGGATGGGCTTACACTATACTGTTGCTGCCATGGAACAAATAATATGGAAAGGGATGTTCATCAAAATCTGATCTGATGCTTTACATCATTCAATGTCTCAGCTCATCGTGCTGTGAATATGATTCTAGACTATGCAGTTTGTCATAATATGTAGGCCTGTTTTTTTCTCCCTTCATAACAAAATACCTCACTAAAATCATGCATTGAAGATTGGTATTATGAACAGGACTGGCTGTTGATATATTGGCCACTTTGATGTCCCATTGAAGAATTGTGTGGCCTCACTGTGTCAGCACATGTCACATGCTCTTTCCGACAATACTGGTATGCTTTAAAGTGGATAGGTCAATGGTGACGACTATGAAGAGATGCGTGAATCATTTGAGATACTACCTTTTGATGATAACACTGAAACACAGTGGGATGCTTCTATTTAGCAGCATATTCATGAAGGAGAACAATATTCATTATGTCCACCTTAGTTAGATGCAGGGCATATGATTCGCAGTGCTTCCTGTGCACTCTTGTGAAGAGTAGGCCTTGTTTCAAGCCTATGCAGAATTATCTCTGATGTTTGCTGGTCCACAGTAGCCTGATTTTGTTGCACTCACTTCACTCATGAATGGGCATGCTAATAAAACCTATATATTCTATAAGGTGAGTTATGCTACCATCTATCAGCATGTCTGTATTTGAAGCATCTCTCCACAGCTTCCAGAACACATCAAGATGCACTACAAGATATGACTCGCCTATAGCAATGAGAAGTCATCCGTTATGCTAAGTGCAGATGTAACACAAAAAATATAGACCTTACTTGAATCTCAAGTTGGACTTCCATGATTAGTCCCTACTGCTCTCCTACAGCGACTTTCTGACATAATAACTGCTCTCACAGGCCCTTCACAGATGTCTGAGAACCCTTGGTAACTTGAGAAGCTGCTTGCAGACCATTGCCTGGCACAATCTGTACTCCAGTACAGCTATGGAGATCACAGGAATAAAGTACAGGCAATGAGGTATGTGGCATTAGTGAGGAGATTCCCAGAGGCAAGCAGATCAGAAAAATGTACTGCTCCAACCGTGAATGATGATGGCCATGGACCATTGTGAAAGAAGAACAAACCACGAACTTGCACATATTATAAGAGCACAAAGTGCAAGGGTAGATGAGCAGTGAAAAATTATGCTGTGAAAATGCATGAGATCCAGGTATATGTATTGATATAATGAGGACGCCAGTCAACGATTGATTTTGCTGTATGCTGCCATAGCAATGCACTGAAGCACAAAGTTGATACAACATAACAGCAGCAGCATCTGTAGCGAGTGACTCAAATGTCATGTTGGATGCAGACACTGCAGTTTCCGAGTTATGCGGACAAGTTTGATTCACATTTGTGGAGTTGTTGGAATAGCTGCTTCTTTCCCTCCTTTAATTTAATTATTTTATTTTCAAGTGTACCATATACCTTTAGGTTGATCGCCATACATATCACCCTCCAGCCAATCAGGCAATGTCTCTCATGTGAGAGTTTGTTAGTTTCAGAAGCCTTTGCATGAATCATATCAGAAAAATCAACAGTTAGCCCAACATCTTGCTTCTTACATCCTCTGCATAAGGTTCTGCAGCAGTTACTCCCTGACCATAGTCTTTTCATACTCAATTCCACTTTTTTTTCCTCATTTCTGACCATCTCATATGCAAAAATTGACTTCATGCCAGATCAAATTTTTTCTGTGGATCAGCCAATAATTACAGACATTGGAAAGCTTTGTGTTGTTCCAATCCCCCCACCATCAATTATAAAAACACTCATGGAACAGTGCTCAAGCTTTTCGCAAAAAAGGTGAAGTCATTGGCTTGTCCTCATACACCTGGCTGCCCTGGAACATACCTACCCATCTGGACATTCTCATACTGATGTAAGGTTGTGGAACTTTAACACAAGTATATGTCTTGGCTTCATGCTAAGGCAACTTTCTAGAAGCACAGTTGAAAATGGAGATAGACTGAGAAGTAGACTCACAAGTTGATCAAGGGTGTTTACAATGCTCTTGGCTCAATTTCATGGTTTGGCAATATCAAAGGGTTCAAAAATTCAGAGCTATCTGGAACCTTGCAAGATATGCAACTGATCAATGACTGTTTGATGTTCACCAAAACCAGATAGTTGATTTATTTCATCATGACCTTCAGTTTCATTAAGCTGGTTGGCTTATTGAGGTTATGTATACCTACTTCTTCAAGTCTCTCAAACTTGCTTACAAGTCTTGCAATGCTAGAGAGTAGTAGTGGGTAGCTTGGCTATGGCTGACTTAGTGTCAGGTTTTACTGGTTGGATATCAGTTTGGTTTGCCTCACTAGTTGCACGAACTAACTTGGGGCTATATTTGTAAAGAAGACAGCTTGACCTGGCTTGAGTGGGCTCTAACCAACCAAAAGCCAATATGAATGGAACTTTTGCTATCTGAGTAGCTCTACCAACTTCTAACTTCTAAGTATCTTATTGTACCATTATCAATGAATAAGGTTCCAATTCGAGTTGATGGCAGATTTAGTCTGAGAGACTGTTTAGGATCTGGCTCATATGATATGCTATTTATATATACAATATGAATTTAAATTCAACATACAAATTCACTTAGGTGTTGTATACTGCACATAGAACATCATCAACAATGCTAATCTTGCCATCAAACTCAAGCCTCTCACCAATAACCTATCCTCTTTAAAGCATGAATATCATATCTTAAAACTGCTTGAAGGTGAAGTTGGGATCCTGTGTGTCTTTTGGTTTAGAAGAGAGGCAGAATATTATGCAATAGCTCTCAATCTTCACAGACTATCACTATATAAACTCTTCCTTGCACATAATTAAAGGTTTAGTTTCTATACTATTGTTAATCTAGGAGACCAACTAGTGAGTTAATTTATGGTAGGTTATGGCAGTCACAGATACCCTAACCTATTTCCCAGCTCTCATCTCTGAAGTACATCCACTTGTGCAACTATGTTTATAGTGATATCAAACCTTATAATATCCTGGTCACTTATGGAGATTCAGAGCAAAATATATTTATTGTTAATTTTGGTGTTGTGAGGAAGTACTAAAATATAGTAGCTCAAACTTATATACCATTTTGCCATGGTAGATGTCTTACTAGCACTCCCACATTTGCTTTAATAAACAACTACCTAGGAGTTGTTCTAAGTCATTATGACAATCTTAAGTCTCTCATATATATGTCAATTTCTTTCTTACATAGCTCCCTGCTATAGTTGCCCAGTAACCACAAGAAGTTCTCCAGCTCTGTTATATTGGTCTGCAAAATGGACAACACTATCAAAGCTTTGTGCCATGAACTTCCTTCTGAGATTGCAACTATGCTAATCTATTCATGATTTCTTGCATTCTTAGAGGATCCTAACTATGATTATATTCAATCACTGCTTAATGATATTTGCACTACATTACCGCTATCAGCCATATGCTCGCTGGATTCCAGCCAGTCTAATGATCTGATTATGTTTTTGCCTCTATCTCTGAAAGATCATTTAGTGGCTAAAGAGACATCTCTATGTCTGCTGAAGATGACACTTTTTGCAGATTGACTCATTCTGTGTAAGTAGTTTATGTTCACCTTCTCACACTCATGAACTCAAACCTTGCAAAATCTGCACCTATACAAGAATACCCCCAGATTTGTAATTGCCTCCAAGACTTCACATTGATGATTGGAGTAGGATCTACTCATATACTATATCATGTGTTCTTTTTCTTTGGTTATGTAGATCAGGTGACACATGCTGTGTAGTATGTATGCTATGCTGTAAAGTTCTATGAAGTTCTACCACACACACTCATCTCCTATGTAAACAATACAAACTTTGTGTCATATATTATCTACTGTCATCATGTTTCAAGTGTGCTAATTCCCTATGGAACTATTTCTTCTGCAGATTGAGGTCAAGAAAGATGAGCATGTGGCCCTCCATTCAATAGTCTCAAGTTGGCTCAACTTCTCACAACTCACCCAAGTCTCATAGAATTCACAATAACCTTGAGGTAACTATCAATAACTGATTCTGACTAATGAGACTAAGTTATTTTATTTTATTGAGCCATATTGGAGGACTACAACATCCTGCATAGCACATGGAACTGTTTATCAAGTCAGACTTGCTGTAAGCTGGATGCTTACAACACGTTGTTTGTGCTTGCTTGTCTTGTTGATTATCATCCTGTTGCGCTGCTGCCTTGTATCTTATCTACTAATATCTGTACCGTCAATCCACGACCTGTCCACGCTTTGTCCGTTCCATTCTGAGTGTTTCTCTACACACGGGGTTTCCACTTTTTTTAAGCGTTCGACACAGTCATCACGGAATGAACTGTCACCATCACAGAGCAACACCACTGTTGCGTCATAACACTGTCTTGATAGAATCATGCCCGCTGCAACACAGTCTTGATAAAATTGTGCCTGCCAACTCCCTACAGCTTACTACTGCAGTCCTTAACTGCCGCAGTTGTTACAACTGAGATAAGTCGAGCCGTCTAAGTCCAAATGGACAATCTGCTTGATAGCAAGATGGACAGTGGTCTTCTCTCGAATGAGAAGTCAAAGGTTTCTGGCTAAGGCAAGTGTTGGCGACTTCCTTAGAGTAATGGTTCTAAGACAATAAGGTTGGAGACCTTACTGAAGATCAAGTTCCAGGTAAAACCCAGTAGATTAAAGTGAGGAATACAATGATGAACTACATGTCTATATAGTGAATGTTCAAGTGGAGCTTGTAAATGGTTATCAAGATAAGGAGATAGCAGATAGCAAACATAGTGTGGACAGCCCACTTAGGTAAGTGACAAGAAAACAAATAGGGGTCTAAATGTTATTGTAACATTACCCTGTTATTATGGTCAAAGTCACCGACTATGACTTCTAATCATCCATGTTGTCATAGTAGCACGGGTCAGCCTCTGCATTATGGAAAACAATGTCATCTTCCTCGGTGTGTTCCCGCATTACTGTGTACTCACGATGAGCACACTCTAGCTCTTCCTCAAGCTTCTGGTCCTCTATGGCTTCCCATTCAGCCAGGGCATCATAAAATCCTTCATTAGTGTAGACCAATGGAAACTGCTCCTTCTTTGGAGCATACAGGCAATAGATAGAAAAATGACCAGGCGCTTGGGCCTGGCATATGCGGCAGTGGTATTGCGGACAGTTCTTGTGGCAATGTCCAAGCACTTTGCACTGGCGACAAACGAAGTTGTCTGCGGAGAGGTCAGGCTGCTTGATGGTGATGGTAGAAGTGGAAGGTTCAAGGGTGAGGTCAATCATTTCACGCCTTTTCCCTTTGGAAGACTTGGTTTTAGTCACTTCGTGGATGACTGCTCCCTTGTGGGTCTTTCTGGTGTAGATCTTGTTTGGTGGGGGAAGGGGTAGCGGTTGAGAATTTTCTCTAGGCAGACCTGGAGCAGATATGTCAATGGTGGTAATGCTAGCAGCAGCGCTTGGCGGGTGACTGACTTGGGTCGTGTTTCGTTCTGCAACAACTCATATAACTGTCTTGCAGATGTCACTAAAAGAACCAGGAAGAAGCTGAATCATGAGAGAGCGAATGTGTCTCTGGAGGTGTTGGCATGATAGTCTGAGGGCATCGTTTTCAATATCGTTGAGCTTGGTTTCTAAGGTACTGGTGGCATGTATGATATGGATCTGGGATAGGATGGGAGCGGCAATGTGTGCAGGCTCTTTTGCTAATTGGTTTTCTATTTCTTCTGTGTGGGCAAGGGACAGGAGCATGGTTTCCATGATGACGTCGTCTTCGATGTTGATAATGTTTTGTTTGTAGAACATGTCGCGTAGAGAGAGATGGGAAATGTTGGAGTCAGTGGGTGATGGTGTCTGGGGGGGGAGTCATGCTTTGGTTGGTTTTGATATGGTAGGGGGAATGATTATTAGTTCAGTCTGTGTCTCTTCTTATAGGCGACTAGGAGTTCTTTAGAACTCCACAAGTTCTCTTCGGGAATCCATTCATTGCTACCGGAAGAGTATCCAACCCATGATACAAGATAGCATCTTCATTTTCCCGTGCTTCTGTGGCTAAGAATAGCCTCTACTTTGTATTCTTCTTCGCCGTTGACAATATCAGGAAGAGGTTCTGCATAGTTTGGTCTGTGTATCTCTGTCTCCTGATAGGAAGATAACTCGGAAGCATGGAACGTGGGGTGAACTTTCCATTGTTCAGGGAGTTTCAAGGAGAAAGTGATGGGAGATAAGACTGCAGTTACGGGAAACGGTCCATAGCATTTAGGCACAAGTTTCCTAGATGGAATTTTGGTCAAGAGGTTGGTGGTGGTAAGCCATACCTTATCTCCTATCTTCCAAGGGGTATACTTTTTTCCATGCGACCTTTCTGCCATTCGTTGCATAGTGATGTTATGATAAGAGATCGCTTCTTTGCATATCTTTTGCAGGGTCCTTAGCCGTTCTTCAGCTGCAGGTGTATTGGAAGACGGGAGAATATGGGGAATTCCTCTGGGTTCATATCCCATCATGAGGAAGAAGGGGGAAGTGTTCCTAGCATCATGTTTTCGATGGTTGTGGACGAATTCTGCAAGAGGAAGGTGATCGGACCATTCTAGGGGATTAGTTCTGCAGTAGATCTGTAGATATGTTTCTAATTCTTGGTTGAGTCGTTCAGTTTGACCACTGGTCTGGGGATGATAAGCGGTAGATGCGGCGATCTGATACCCGAGGAGGCAAGCTAGTTCTTTAGAGAATTTCGAGATGAATTGGGGTCCACAATCAGAGATCACCTTCTCATGGAGTCCAAATCATTTAAAAACATTTTTGAAGAAGAGTTTAGTGACTCCTTCCAAGGAAATTGTTTTACTGCAGGGAGTAATAATTACCCCCTTTATAAGGCCATGGTCTACCACGACCATGACAGAATCAAAGCCGTTGGAAGGTGGAAGGTCGGTGATTAAATCAACAGAGACCTGACTAAATGGGCATGTGGTGGAGGATGGGATGGGGTGCAAGGGTGGTGTGGTGGGATGAGTGTCAGCCTTCATCTGCTGACACAAGGCGCAGCCAGTGACGTAATTGCGAATAAAGGAACCCATGGTGGGCCACCAATAATCACGCTTAAGCAGTTTTTCCATTTTAAAGCGACTGGGGTGGCCGGTGGTAGGGTGATCATGGTGTTTGCGGAGTATGTTGGACCGTTGTGTGATGGGTACATAAGCTCGGTCCTTATAGAAGAGTACACCATCAACAAATTTCCAATCAGAAAGGGCAGACTTCATAGGGGGAAGACAGACGCCATTCAAGGCATCAGAGGTGGCCGCAAACAAAGGGTCATCGAGGGAATTGAGAGAGATAGCAGCACTAAGCTCATCGTCAAGAAGGCGAATAAACATGGAGTCTGGCAGCAGTACCCAGTCCTCATTGTTGTCTTTGCCAAGACTGTGATCAGGCCTGCGAGAGAGAGCATCCGGTGCGGCAAGCTTAGTACCAGGGACATGATGCAGTTGAATATCATAGTTGGACAGAATCAACTGCCAACACGCTTGTCGTTGGGATAATTTCTGGGCCTGTCAGAAATATAAAAGATTCATGTGATCAGTGAAGACAATTATCGGATGTGGGCTTCCTTCAAGGTAATGACACCATTCATTGAGGGGACAGATGACTGCAAGGAGTTCGCGATCAAAGATTTCATAATTTCTTTCAGCAGAGTTAAATGACTGAGAAAGATATCCACAGGGGTGATATACCCCATTTTCATTGGTCTGAAGCAGGACTGCACCAGTGGTGGCAAGTGAAGCATCAGTAGCCAGAGCAAACTGTTGGGTAATCTAGTACAAGGTGACCGACTACTTATACTAAGTGGAGAGGGTTAAGGGCAAGGCTACCGTACTGTAGGTAAGGGTAAAGGGGAAACGAAAAGGGTATAGGTACGCTGGCAGCAGAGCCTGATTAGTGATGGGAGGTCGAATGCGGAATGAGACCAAGAAATGTTGAAATGAACCAATGGTAAAGGATACAATGCACAGCACGCATGAGTCAGAGGAAAGATAAGAGCAGATAAGGAAAGCCACATTGGTGGCATGAGTCAGGATGAGTCATAGCCTGAAGGCACATGTGCACATTGGTGCAATAAGAGGGAGACGAGGGATGGGAACAGTCCTGAGGATCCGGTCAACAGATAGTCGGTAAAGGAGTATGAGCCGGAGGTAGGTGAGGACAAGGATGAAGGGGAAAAATGACAGGGGGGCCATGTAGCCGATGTTACTTGTAACAGTAGTGCTATATTGGAGTAGTGCGCTACAAATGCATGGTAGAAGTTGCAAAATCCAAGGAATGAGTGGGTTTCCTTCACATTAGTAGGTTCCGGCCAATTCTTGATGCCTTCAACTTTAGCATGCTACATCCCCACTTCTCCTGGATGAATGACCATCCCCAAATACTCTACTTCTCTTGCATTGAAGATGCATTTCTCTGGTTTGACAAATAGCTGCTCTTTGCGCAGGACATCCAAAACAATCTTGGTTCAGTTACGATGTTCATCCAGGCACCTCAACCTCACATGATCCCTACCTAATTAGGTTGTCATATACCCCCGGGAGTGGCAACCTAATTAGGTACGACTGCACCAAATACGCACACTGCCAGTAAATAGCTGAATAATGTTCAATATCTATACTTCGGCAAAACACCAGTGTGTCAGACTGTTTGGCGGGGCTCGGGCGTATGCAACCATTCCCAATTTAGAAGCTTACGCGTTGTTCATACTTCGGGAACGTCCGCACGTCTTGTGCTCACTGTCGTCGACGACGAGCTCGCTTCTAGGCTTAAATCACGTCTAAAATAGCTAGTTCTTTTTCTAAAAAACACGATAAAATCATTCATTGCTTGTAGATATAAGGGCTATACAAAAAAGCAAGGAACTAGGTATAGTATATATCTAGAGGACGGAGACAATGTGAGGGTGGAGTGGGGCATTGGCAGAGGCATTGGGAGATGGATGTCTCCAGTGCAGCACTAGATGGTGTTGTTGAGTTGGGGCTCGTTGTCACCAGTGTCGTTGGCTGGGGCATTCATCCTCTTCCGAGGTCCACGCTTGACACCCTTGTCTGATCGTTCCTTCCGGGCCTTCTTTGGCACGTGTATAGCATTGCCATTTGCTGCGGTTACAACGTTGATGGCCGCAATTGGCACTGTACGCTGGTGAGAGGGTGCCACCTGAGATTGACTGTCTGGAGTCAAGGAGGATGTCAAAGGTGAATCATCGTCATTTGAAGGGACAGAAGACTGAGTGCTTGCGGTCGGTATCGTGTTCTGGAGCCCTCCGTCCTCTCCCTCATTTTCATTCCTGTTGTGCAGTGCAGCCTGAAAGTATTCCTCTTCCCACTTCTCAAACTCGGTATCACTTAGCTTGTGAAACCTAGTGGCACCAGAATCCCATGCAGACTTTAGGACAGATATTTCAGTCCGCGAATTGATGTCCCCAGGGCAGCAGAATTTGCCGAGTGGCCAGTTTTCAACAATGATGCGATACTTCGCAGTGATGTGGTGGTCGAAGTTATGATAATACATACGAGAAACTCTCTCAGGGGCGGCAGCAAGTTCTTCTCAAAATTGAGACGAATACATCAAGAGAGCAGCAAAAAACACGTACGAAGTTTCTTGAAAATTAGCTCCCCGGTAGCTTTCTTGAGGTCGAGAGTCTCTTGTAAGTAGGTTTTAGCCACACCTGTGCAGCGTGTATTGCTCGTTAGTTGCACTGCAATAGACGAGGCCCATAAGCCTTACCTGGAATGCCAGCAATGGAAAATGCCTCTAGTCTTAAAGCAACATCCATTGCGCTAACTTTGAAACACGCATCAAAAAAGTCCGTGGTGCGCGAGGTTTGAAATATGTGTGGTTGGTTGAAGTGGTCAGTAGTAGAGTGTGTTGCGATGAAAATAATCTCAACTCCAGTGCGGGCATTCAGAGCGCGAGCCTGTCAATAGAATTTTGTGCATCAGAGGGGATATATCACTGGATAAGCAAAAGAAACAAAATATGTACCTCGCGGTCAATGGCCTCCACTGACCTTTGACAATCATGGAAGGCTTCCAGGGGGACGTTTCGAATGGCAAGCTTCTTCATTTCACGGTGATCTTCCAAATCCTTGACAGCGGCTTGAGTGGCATCCTCCTGCTCACTTTTTGACATGGAATTCCACCGCTCAGCAATTCCACGAGCACATTGTGCTGCTTTCAAGGGTGCAATGCCAGGTGCTCGTTCTACGGAAAAAACTATGTATCAGTGAGTGGAACTTCCAATGTAGCAGTTGCCCATACCATCATTGATCTGTTTGACTTCTTGTCGACAAAATGTGTTCCATCGATTGATGCCACGAGATGACTGGGCAATGCGTGAGTGCTGCATTATCTCCTCATAGTAGTACTGGACACTATGCCCACTAAATTGAGCATGCAATTTATCTGCTTCATGAAAGACAACGTTGCGAGCAGCTTGGAGGGCGCTTGAGTATGAAATGCGATGAGCTTGCCTCTTCTCCTTCAGTACTGCTTTTTCGGCTGCGCTGCGCTTGTATCGTCGTTTTTCACGGCGACGCCAAGGTACTCGAGGTTTATTGGTTGTAAGTGCCCACATTTTGGGGGCATAACGGCTGACTTTGCTCGAGCTCGTTTGTTTCACCATTATCAAGGGCGATGAGGTTGCTAGTAAGAATGGTCGGCTAGTTTTTTCGGCTAGTCTTACGGATGTTAGCGTCATGCAGCACACGTGACTTTTAGAGACAAACATATGTCGGGGACATGGAAATCGTAGGGGAAAAAACAATGTACATGAGTTAGGATTCATTGTCTCCAGTGATGATAAACCACAACCACCGAGCCTCTGCAACAGGAAGGCCTCTACTTGACAGATTATTGACAAACTGTTGCCCAGACATACTAACATCCAGGGCGTGCTGAATGCAGAGGAGGGCACGAGAAGAATAACCATGGGCCTCAAGATAGCTATCAGGTATATCGCCAAAAGATGGGAGGGGTGTATCATCAGCAGGAGGTGGGCTATAGAGTGTTGATTGAATACCGCTCAATTCCCGCATGTACTGGTACACCCGCACTGGTGCATTTGAGGATGTAGCGAGAGATGGGTGATTGTCTGCCAGGGTCCTCCAAGCACGTGGTCGTCGAGGTGTGCTGGTATTAAAAGCAAGCGCTATTTGACTGACTGATAAGTGGTAGAGTAGAAATCCATGGAAAAACTTACGAGGGGCGGAAGATTCACCCAAGATCGAACTGACAGTTGAAAGAAGCTTCTTTGGAGGGTCGAGGGAGAGATTTGATACTGTAAATGACCATCAGATAGACATCAAGAGCTGACAAGACATAGATCATACCCTCGACAACAGGTGACTCTACAACCTTCTCTTTCATGAGACCTATCTTGCTGCCAATGGGTCTGCCATCAATACACTTTCCTTTCATGATCATCCAAGCGACAGCATCCGTGAAAGTTTCGAATTTCTTGTACATTGGACTGCGATATCCAGACACCAGTTGGTGGCAATCTTTCCTAGAAGCAGATGCAATCTATCATTATTTTGATAGATAATTGGACGCACCACTTTGTGTAGATACCAATCTCGTGTCCCCTCAATACTCCATAGAAGCCCTGAAGTGTGCCCTCCCAACGTTCCTTCTGAAGCATGCCTTGTGCAGCATCAGAGTCCATAAATGCGCGTTGTCTTGTTACTTAAGGGTCTTATATGAAAGTTGTGTATAATGACAACACAATTATACACGGTGAAGACTTCTTGCCAGTCCTTAAGTCCACGGTCTCCGACTTTTCTACTTTGTGGGAGGTAACGTGGTGAGTTCTTGGGAGGATTTAGTTTGTTGTCCTCTTCTTGTGTAGTCTTATACGAAGTTGTTGTGGAATGTTCTGTGTTCTGGATAAATTCGTTAGGTTTGTTTCAGCCTAGTAGGTTGTGTTTCAACCTATGAAAGTCTGTTTCAACTTTGTCGTCCTTAGATGTGTCTCACTTTCCGTTGAAAGGGAGAGTCTTATGAATACACGTAAAGCTTAGAATGAGAGCTGTTCAATGGTTATATAGTCAACCCCTGTAAGGTAGTATATAACCTAGAGTAGAATAACGATAATGAAAGTTATATAGTCGACCCCTGTAAGGTAGTATATAACTTTAGAATAGATAATGATATCTTAGATTACCTCAAGGCACTTATATTGGCCTGCACTTTAAGTCTTAGTGGTCTCACACGGTTTGAGATAAGAGTCAAGTGGGAGGATTGTATTTCATGGGTGAAAATGGGGTCCTTTTATACCTTTTGGGAACCCCCTTACTAAGCATGATTAATCAGATGGATTGGTAAGAATGTGGCTTACAAACCAGGTGATGAATCAGCTTATTACTAAGTACATTACAAATACAGTGTAATCTTACAAAGAAATTAGAAACCATGACAAACCATGACTAAACATGTTGAGTCATGTTAAATGTTGTTACAAAGCATGGCCAATCATGACTAAACATGCTGAGTCAGCTTAAATAATGTTACAAACCAGAATATTTCCCAGTCACATGATGTGATGACAAATAAAAGCTGGTGGCTGAAAGAAGCCAAATACAAATAAACAGTCAGAAATAAATAGAGATACAAAACTTGGTGGCTGAAAGAAGCCAAATAAAAATAAACAATGAGAAATAAACAGAAGGTCACATGCTTGATACAAATACAAGGTAAAATAAGCCTGTAAAGTGAGAAATAAAATACAAGACAATGACATAAAGGAAAAATAGGGAGGTAACTTAGTGACAAAGGGCTAGACAGTCTCTCATATCTTCCTTATCACTCTCTATATATATCTGACATGGTATGAATCACATACCATGCATGACATCCACCCCGGACAAAAAATCGCAACTGTCCCCAGTTGAAGGGTAGGTCATGACATTTTGTTAATTGTGATGTTGTTAACTCCTCCATCTGTTTTCTGGGTTGACAAGATGGTGACATTCATCTAGGAGTCTGAAAATTTCGAAGTATACTGCACATGTAGGACATATTTGTGATAATGCTTCCTGGTAATTATGATCCCAGAAGTATATCATTTGATTGTAATGGGTTCTGATATCTTGAAAAATAAAGTCTTCGTGAAGTTTATTGCAATCCTCTAACAAGATGTCAAATAAACTTGCAATGTTTTGTTGAATTCGCTTCTCTATAGTGGAGTCTTTTCCATTCATGATGTGATGTGTTTTGTTATTTGTCCTCTGAGAGGAAAGAAGTATCTGAATCTGATCCTGATGAATTTTCCTCATAGTATTGATCATTGTCAAGAGTATCTGCAATTGTTTGCAGAGTAGGATCATTTCGGCTTATATATGGAATTAGTCTAAAGGAGGCTACACCACGTCTAGACAGAGTTCCATTCATTTCTTTTAGAATGTAGGATCCACCTTTGGTTTGTCTCTCAACAACAAAGGGTCCTAAGTATCGTGGTTTTGTTTTGCAATTCAGTTCTTTCTCAACTTGAGTATTTCGGACTAGTACAAGATCACCTGGTGCAAATGATTTTATGTGCATCCTCAGATGATATTTCTGTTCAAACTGAAGCTTGGACTTAAATCTGGCCTTCTTTAATGTTTTAGCGGCACGTCTCAAGTCTTCAGGACGTCTTTCGATTTGGCGTATTCGTAATGTGAGGAAATCAACAGGATTCATATTCTCGTGAAATCCATCAACAAGGAATGTTGCTTCACTAAGGTCAAAAGGTAGAACAGGATGGACTCCATGTAATAGGTAGAAAGGTGAGAATCCAGTTGCACGGCTTGTGGTAATGTTTTCGGCAAAGAGTGCCTGAGGAACCTTCTCAGGCCATCGTGAGATGTGCTTTTCACAACTTTTTACTATTGCTTCTCTGATATTAAAGTGTCCACGTTCAACTACCCCATTTGCTTGTGAGTTGTAGGGCGAGATTTGAATCTGTGGAATGTCCACTTGTTGAAGTAAATTTTGGAATGCTCCCTTAACTTCGGAGCCATTATCGGTAACTATCTGTCCTATTGCTCCATATCGGCAATACAAGTCTTCCCAGAAAAACTTGGCCATAGCTTTGGCAGAGGCAGATCGTAATGCTCTTCCTTCTACATATCGTGAAAGATCATCTCGAGCTAACACTAGATGCTTCATACCATTCCCGGCAGGCATCTTGAGTATGTCAATGTAGATCTTTGTGAAGATTGTGGCAGGTGTAGAGACTGTGATAGGTATGTGCATTTTCTTGGTGCTTCGAATCTGACAATCATGACAAGATTGTACATGGTGCTTAACATCGGTATACATATGTGGCCAGAAGAATCTGTATCGAATAGTCTCAAAGGTAGACTGTACTCCTTTGTGACCTAAATCTTCATGTGCTCCTGTCAGTATAGACAGTCGTTTATCGGGGTCAAAAATAACAAGTAAAGGGGGTCTATCTGGTAGACGCTTGTACATCTTTCCCTTTTGTACGAAGAATCGAGTTGTACGCTTGACAAATTTCTTGCGTTTAGCAGTACTTTCAAAACTTGGTGCTTCAAGTGTGGTAAGGAACTTGAAAATATCTGTCAAAGTCTGCTCTTGATCAGCAGCTGACAAGAATACGGATGGTAGGTTATTGGGATTATATGGATGTGCAGTGAAATTTGAGATTGATGTGAATAGGGCTATTTTGTATAACCAAGAGTCATCTTCAGGGATAATCTCTTCGTCTGAAGCTAGAGGGCATCGAGATAAGCCATCAGGCCCTCTGAAACTTGTTGCTGGTACATGGTGAAGTGTGAAATCAAATAGGAGAATTCCTTGAATCCATCTATTGATTGTAGCATTTGGTTGTAGGTCGGGCTCATTAAGCATGCCTTTAATATATTTTGCGTCAACTTCAACATGGAGGTTCTGAACTCCAATGATGTGAAGTCTGTAATGTCGAAGTGCTCTGAACAGTCCATACAATTCTAACTTGGGCTGAGAGTATCGTGACTCTGCATCCCCCATAGGTAAAGAACCATATCGTGCTGGTCGTCGTCGTCCTTCATCATCTATTTGTGAAAGGATGATTCCTACAGCTATGAAGCTGGAATCGACTGATAAATATACAGGATTTGAGGAAGTATAGTCAATGCTTCTCATTGCTGGTGCTGAACATATACGTTCCTTCAAAGTTTCGAAAGAAATATCTTGCTTCTCTCCCCAAATAAAAGGGGCATCTTTTTTCCAAAGTTGGGTGATAGGTTTTGCTAGTTCAGAAAATCCTAGTATCCAAATACGAACTGTCCCACAAAGTCCCATAAATCCTCGGGCTTCTTTAACCGTAGTGGGGATTGGCCAGTTAAGAATTTTTGACACTTTCTCAGTATCAGGTAGTCTACCTTCTGGAGTACAGCGCTGTCCTACGATAAGGACGTCTGGAAGGCAACACTGAATTTTTGTAGCGGAGAATGTTGCACCTACGTCTTTTATACGGTGCATGATACGGTGAACATCATTTGCATGTTCCCAAATAAATCGTCTAATCCCTGGGTTTTCTTCTAAGACCTTGGGATTACCTTCATTGTCAGGATAGATAGTCTTTGGACCTTTGACTGGAAGGTCATCTATGAAAACATTGGCTACATGTGGGATTTCATCCTGCAGTACAAAGCTGGTACATTTCTGAAATTCTGCAGGTGCATTTGTGTAGCCCATTGGTAAGGCTGTTAAGCGTAGCAGACCTAATGGTGTTAGGAAAGCTGTAAGATCTCTGCTTTCTGGGTGCATTTTACGTGCATCAAATCCCCAGAATAAATTGAATACGGTGTAACACTGAGCTCCTGCAAATGACTCTACAAAGTCATCAACTATAGGAATGAGACCAGCATCTCAAATAGAAATTTTGTTGAGAGGTTGAAGATCATGGACTAGTCTTAGTTTTCCATTCTTCTTGAGTACACAGAACCAGCGTGAACGGTACACAGATTGGCTTGGTTCATATACCCCTGTGTTAATCTTGGATTTGAGTAGTTCAATAACTTTCTGACGTATCCCAGGTGGGATAGGAATATTCTTATATTCCCAAGGTACATGAGGTACAGTGGGAATAATGTATGGGGTGAAATATGATTCTTTGAGAGTAACCCTATCAGTTTCTTCAAATGCTAGGGTTTCTTGATTTAAATTCATGATGTGTTGAAAAAGTTTTACTTCTTCAGGTAGTAGAAATCCTTTTGAATTTATCCCAAGGTCAACCATACGTTCATGAGTTAGACGTCCATTAGGAATAAATTCAGGAGGATGTGGAGTTAATGCTATTAAGTTTTGAAGTGGGTTATGAGGAAAATGACGATCTACTCTGGCTCCTTGAGGAAAAGTTCCTGACACGGGCTTGACTTTTTTGTCGACCCTCTTGTACATTGTGAGTACTGGATTTCCCTCAGGATAGTTGATAGACTTACAGGAAATTAAGATATCAGACTCAGTATCAGAATTGTCATAATATTCTGAGTCTTGAAGTATAGATTCTTCATTTTGATTGGAGTTTGTGGTTTGGTTTTTGGATGTGAGATTATTTCTAAGTCTCTCAAAACAATCTTCTATAGACTCGTTTTCAAGTAAATCTGAAGGATACACTAGCATCTCCTTACTTGAATTTTGTTCAATAGGTTTTGAGTGACTTAGACATAAAACTTGATTTTG